CTGCCTCTGTTTCACACTGGCCTCCGGGAGCCAGAAAATGAGGACGGCCTCATCCTGCTTTTGGAAAGAACTTTCCAAAATTCAGCAATGTGCTAGACTAGGAAGCAGCTTCTGCTGCTGTTGCAAATGTTGTTTTTACAACTTCTGGGCCTGTATGAAACAACTCTAACTAAATACTTTTTTTGTAAGTGACTACTGTTGTACACCAAAAAGTTACCAGCCCACCACATTTGATCCCATTTCCTAGCCTGAAGCTGGGCAGGATGACGTTGTGTTAAGGGAATGTTTCTTATTATATTTTAGTGTGTATCCAGATCACCTGGAGGGCAGGTGAGAACAAAGACCTGAGATGGGTGAGGTGCAGGACTGTGCAGCTCTCACAGGCTCCCAGGGAGGGCACTGCTCCTGGTCCAGGGGCTGGCTCCATGCTGCACACAGAGGTGTAAGGCGAACTCTACTGTGTGTACACATCACCTGGGGATGCAGATCCTGATTCAGAGATCTAAGGCTCTTGTCCACAGACCACTTTCCAATCAGTAAGGTACATGGCACTGCATGGGGGGGGGGGTGGAGAAGAAACTTTGCTAGTTTCATTATTTATATAGATGGTTGTCCATTCAGAAGTTTGATAGGCAAGGATTAAAAAAAAAAACTTGAATGTTAGTCCCCTCACTCTTTTTTTTTTTTTTGAGAGAACACCACAGAAGAAATCTGAAATGGCAGCTCCCCAAATCAGTGACAAACTAGGGAACCGAAGTGAGTCAGTTCAGTGTGCTTCCTCAGGTCTGAGGAAGGAGCTATCTGTAGACTCTGGGAGACATAAGAGGTAGGTAGGAGAGGGTATCCACTTCAACAGATCACTGCCAAAACTCCAGGTCCAGCACACCAGACGTGGAGCCCCCAAATTCCACGTACAGAATCTGATTCAGGAGAAATGAGAGACTTCTTTAGCTCGAATCAGCATGCTTTGCCCTGCACTGGCGGGAAGCCACTTTGCAGAAAAAAGTGATGCAAATAGAACAGAGAGGGAAGGACCACGCAGTGTGTCCAATCCTGCCTTAGTACTGGGAACAGAAGAGGCATAAGAACTGTGACAGTTTTACTTAATGTAGTCAAGAATCCAAAATGCAAGATCACGAATTTTACACTGTGGGCAGAAAACACGTTCACACATATCCTTGTTCAGGGGAGCCATCATTCACTCATTCATCTTTATGGACTTGTTCATTCATTCCTTAAGTATTAAGTGCCTCCTCTATGTTCTAGGAGTTGGGATTTTAGAGAGAAGCAACCACAGCAAATATCCAAGCTTTTCTATGTGCAGTGAAGCACTTTAGGCTCTGAGCAACGGCGATGGTTCTATGCTTTTCTCTGTGAAGCAGTATAAAAAAGACGTTTTAAAACTCACAAAGATATACAAAACATGAGTCTCAATTTTTTATTATTAGAGTCGAAACAGATAATGTCCATTGTCTATAAATGTCAATTGCTAAAATAAAAAAAATGCAGTGACTCAATGATGACCCTCAGATTCCCTGTTGTAGGGAAGATGGATAACAAACAGCTTGCAGACCTCACTCTGAGTTGTCCAGAATGAAACACATGGAAACAGCACTGAGACAGCTGTCCTTCTGCCCTCCCTGGACAGTCCTGCTGGGCTGATGCCATGTGAGCCTGGGTGCTGCCTGGGGGAAGTCACGCCCTCTCTCCTTCTCTGTGGCCAATGCACAGTCTGGCAGAGGGAATGCCTTACAAGGACATTTTTAAACTTCCTGCAATTGAATACTTAACCTACATGCATCTTTCACGCAGACATATATGTATTTCTCCCAGGTCTCTCCTTAACATTTGTTTTGGAGTCTTAGCTAAAATTTTGAGAATTCTTTCTTGCTTTTTTTTAAGATCAGCCACCTATCATTAGCTGGAAATAGAAATACCAAGGAGACAGAGACACATGTTTAAGAAACAATGAAACCTGAGCATGGGAGATTATTAGAAAACAATTTACAATCATTAGAAAGCAAGATATTTCTTCAGATGGAAAACCAAAATACCATCTCCTCATTTGCTTTTTAAACTTCAAAACTCTGAGAATATTAAAACAATTGATTGATAACAGTTTAACTAATTTTCATTTTCATAAAATAAAATTTTTATGAGAAAAGAGGGAGGACAACAAAATAACCAAAAACCAGAGCAAGTATTTAACCTCTGAAGGTAAATTTGCAGGTGAATGGCCCTTAGTGTCAAGATTTACTCACTTACACATAACTGCTGTGTCCTGACAAGGTCAAAGAGAGAACAGGAAAAGCTGAAGTCCTCACCTAGCCTCGGAAGAGAGAGTAAATGGTTTAAAGGACAAGAGGCCTAACAACACACACACACAATAGCGGGTGATGGGGTTGGGAGGGTCTGGCAGGCAGACAGACAGATCAGCCAGAGATGTCATTCAGCTGGTAGTGTATGGCTCTGACATGGCCCAGATCGTAGTCAACTAGTTATCAAGTGTTAATGTGTCTTTGCTACTCAAGCTGAAAATCATCACATTTAATAAGCCAGCATCTTTAGTTCACAGATTCACTCTATAGCATACTGTTGCTTTTTTTTTTTTTTTTTTATTTTAAAGTCAGTACACTAAGCATTTTGAAGTTGCTCTCTGTGGCATATAGCCTGACACTTTTGGGAAATAAACATCAACAGGCTGCCTGATAGAATGAGACCAATAATACAGTCAGACAAAACCCAAAAGTTAACTTGTGTTTGTCATTCTCTCTCATCTTTCCCTCTGATTCTGCAGGTTTTTATAACTCTTAAAACTTATTCACTATACCATCCGTCCATCCATTCAACCACACATTCATTCATTTCATTTACTCAAGTGATTATTTATTGAGCATCTTCCCGCTGACTGGCACAATAATTTGCTTTTGGAACTTAGCTTATAACGGCAGAAGACAGAAAATAAATGAGTTAGCAAAATTAATAATTTCCGTGGTGAGACATGTTAAGAAGAAAATCATGAAAATGTTAAAATACTGATTTTACCTGGGAGATCGACCAGGGAGCCTGCCAACAAGAGTATTTCATTCAGATGATTCAAAGGAAGAAACATTAATGCACAGAGACCTTCCAGAGATTTAGGCAGGGTTGAAAGAAGCAACAAAGGGTATCGAGGAACCCAGAGACCAATAAGAAGGTGGAATCAAGAGGCCAAGAGGAGAAATGACACCGTGAGAGCCCAGGGACACTGGGGCAAGGAGAACGTGTAACTGGCAGGACCTCTGCTTATAGAAAGATGCACCATGGCCAGGACCACCTCCAAAGTGGGGAGGAAGAGGAGAAGAAATGTTCTCCCTCCTCTCACCCTCAGTCTCCTGCTGCTGCTTCCTGTTGGCAGAATCTAGTAGAAGCCACCTGGCAAGGGAAGAATGGAGAATAACCAGGAAAGTGGGCCTACTTAGGGAGGGTAGTCAGGAAAAGCCTCCCAATGCAGGCAATATTTGAAATGAGCCTTAGAGGGAGACGCTCCCAGCCGTGGAAGAAGGCCCCAGCAGAAGGGAGAGTGAGCACCTATCATTGTCATCCTCCCACCCCACCCCCTCCACCCACCGCAGCCCACGCCCAGCACAAAGCCCTCACACAGACCCAGGCCCACCAAGTGAACACCTTCCTAGGTGTGATGCCTGTATTCTATTTTCTCAATATCAAAAGAGTTTGCTCAGACAAAAAGCATCATTATAAGTAGGACACTTCCCTGAGAAGAGTCCAGCACTTCTGCTTATTTTAATGGACAAAGAAGGAAAAGGCAAGGGAGACGTATATGAAGGCAGGTAAGTGTAAGGCAACTGAAGCAAATATAACTCCCCGCCATTTGTACAGCTTCTTTTTGAAAAGCACGGGCTTTCATACTTTGAATAGCCTCACAGCATATAACATGTAAAAATGTGTTACTGTGCTGGGCACAGTGGTTTATGTCTATAATCCTAGCATTGTAGGAGCTTGAGGTAGAAGGATCACTGGCAGCTAGGAGTTTGAGATTAGCCTGGGCAGCATAGCAAGACCCTCTCTCTAAAAAAAAAAAAAAAAAAATTAGGTGGGTATGGTAGCACACTCCTGTAGGCCCAGTTACGTGGAAGGCTGATGCAGGAAGATCACTTCAGCCTAGGAGTTTGAGGTTCCAGTGAGCCAACACGGCACTGTTGCCCTCTATCCTGGCAGTGGAGCCAGATCTTGCTTTAAGAAAAAAAAAGTGCTAATGTGCCCATCTTCCTTCTAAATGAAGAAACACTGTAAGAATTCACAATATAATAATAGTTAATATGTATCTATAATTTAAACTCATATTTTTTTTAGTTTCATATTTACCTCCAAGTCACTAACTAAAAAGTATGTAAAATATATACCTCAAGCCCATTAGTCAAATATATCTCCTGACAAATTATTTTATTTTTACGGTTGCCCAGAAACTATCTTCTCTATACAAAGTAAAATTTTCAATATTAACGAGATCATCACTTGAATGAAATGACCTGGCTTTCTTAAGCTAGTTTCCAGGTGCAAAGCACTGTGGCTCGCCAAGTTATTCCCGTAAGTCTGCCCTCAGATGGGACGGAGAGCTTCCTGCTGCTAATGGAGGTGAAGCAGAGGAACTGCCTTCCCGTTAATCCTTCAGACTCCGGGATGCATGCACCAGTGGAAAAATAATCCCTTTCAAGGACAAATTCCAGGAATAATAATGAGTTGCTTACATGTTAATGAAACTTTCCATCTTCCATATCCAAAGCTAACCTTTTTTTTTTTCTTAAAGATCTTAAGGAACTTCCATTATCTAACTACATTAGACTGAAATTTCCCTAGTGCCTGTTTAATTTATTTCCTCTTGTTTTCTCCCTGGTGCATCTGGAAACAGATGGCAATTCTTCTCCTTTTTTTAATTTATGACTCTTGCCAAGTGAATGACAATTGCTGATAAAAGCAGTTAGTTCAGAGTGTGTTATTACCTGTAAGAGAGGCCGCTGCACCCCCAGCACCTTCATGGTGTCTGCGTTAGCCAGAATCTTCAAGGGGTCAGATGCTTTAGTGACTCCTTCAATCTCCTTGTTAATCTCAGCCAAGACCTGACTGAGGAAGATGTTTTTGATGTACATGGTCAGAAACTCTCGAAGAGGACACTGTTTGGCTGGGCCAAGTCCTAGGGCATGCTCAATCTCCTGAATAAATCTGGAAGACAAAAAAGTAAAAAAGATGTTAAATACCTCAGAAAATGGATTAAGTATGATCCAACAGCTAGGAATAGATCTAGGCTTAGGCTATTTCCAGGAATAGGGCAGGTCGTCAATCTATTATTCATCTATATATGATTTTTAATTTTTTCAAAATGCTATTTTAATAAATGAATAGAAATGGGATGGAGTAGAAAATACAGCTTCTAGACCCGGGTAGGGGGGAGGAGAGACAAAAAATATTTTTAAGTAAAGAAGCAAGTAAGACTATAAGAAACAAAAGGAAGGCGTGATAAATAGACAACACAAATTAACGTACACATTAAAAGCACACCCCAAAGAGTGCATATTTCTCACTGAAATCTTTACGAGTAGAGAAATAAATGTTGAGCAGGAGAGAGAGAGAAAAAACAAAGGCTACTTTAAAATTCTTGATGATATAAAGGTTTGGAAGTTAAGAACGGGCTAAGAGTTGGAGGACAAAGGAGAACTTCAAACTTACTTGTAATGATTTATTTTCTTTATTAAAAAACACTCAAAACATACATAACAGAATGTTGGTAACTATGAAATCCCAGAGATGAGCACAGAGATGTTCGTTACATTATCGTTTGTAATTTTCTACACAGGCAGCTCATGCTTTGCGTGGTCTGCTGTGCAAAGACTTAAGTCACTACGGTTTAGTTAAGTAACATCAGTTCCCCCAATAACATGGTTTAAACTCCCACAGTACCACAGTATATTAACCATGATTAATTGCAGAAAGTACAAACATCGCAGCTAGCTCTTCAGAAAAAACTATATAAATGATGCCCACGCATCGTAGTAAGTGACCAATCACACTACTTCCCAAGTCCATTGGTGACTGCCCGCTGTGCATTTGCTATTCAGTTCGTGTACAGGCAGCAAAGCATGTAGCTGTGGTGCCTCCCTGCCTCCCAGTGATAAACCCAGGAGACATTTCATTAAAATGGGTAATTGAAAGTGGGAATTGGCCAACAAAGATAAACAGGCAGCTAAAAAAGAAAAAACCCTAAAAGTGATAACACTGGAAGTGAAATTTGAGTTGAATATAAATGGATTGATAGAGGAACTAGCTGCCTGTGGGAATGTTGGCACTGCTGTCACTGGAGAGTCACATGGCCAACGCCCATGAGGAGGGTGGCAGTGATGGAGAGGATGAAGACAGGGCGTGCCAGGGAAGTCATGCTGGCAAAAAATGTCAGTTTCAGGAACTCTTGGAGATATTTTGCAACATTGAAGAAACAAAAGATATAAATTTATTTTTGAGAATTCAATCTTTTTTCATTCCATAAGTAATTAATTGTGTCTGGAGTGGACCTTGGCTGGTCCTAGATGATAACCTATGAATCATGCCCCCAAGTATGTGTCATGTCACTGCATATTATTGTATAGATTTTGTTCATAGAGCCTCCAGGCAAACATGCAAGGCAAAACGTGTAGTCAGAAGTTCTAGTCATCAGAGAACGCGGCCCAGCGAGTGTGGCATGCTGTGCAGGCTGGCTGGAGCAGAGCGACAGGAATGTGCTGGTTGACAGTGAACACAAAGAGCAGAGGTTCCACAGCTTTTCAAGGCCCCAGGCTCAAAACTAGTGTGAGTTAAATACAACTCACAGGGCAGTTAATGTGATAAAGTATATAAGGAGAAGGTGGCAAGCATTGTTCAAACTACTCTTGATACAATTTTGCAAAGAAATAAAATAATTTAATTCTAAATGTTTCTAAAGTTCTGGTATACTAAACACATACTAGTTATTTTACTTTTTCATGTTTGTATACATTTATAAATAACAGTAGGAGAATCTGATGTTTTGACAAAATTTTTAAAAGTCATGAATCAACTGTTCTTACCCCCATTGAGTAAGATTGTTGTACATGTTTTCAACCTGCACGATCATTTTTGCAGTTCCACAATTATGAGAAAGCAAAGGCTATTTTGCACTTTAAATTTTTCTCAAAGTGAAATGCAATGAAATAAAGACAAAAGATGAATAACTGGGGAAATGCATTGGTAGTTTACATCACAGATGACAGCTAGAAATCAAGTAGAAAAAATCTAAACAACTTACTAGAAAAATGATCAAAGGGCAGTGGCTATGAAATATTAAAAAAAGGGGGCAAGACACGATTGTAAGAGGGACTTTACCGAATAAATGCAATTAGTGAAACCTGGTTTCTTGTACCATTTATAAATCCCCAACAATAAATTAAAAAAAAATTCCTAACTTCATTCATCATAACAAAAATGCAAAATAAACTACATTGAAATAGCAATTTTTACAACCCAAGCAATAGGCCAAATTCCAAGACAGTCTGCTGGTATGAGTGTGGGGAGAGGCATTCCTATATATTATTGATGGGAGTGAAAAAATGGTGCAATCCCATATGAAGGGCAAGTTGGTTCTATCATTCAAAATTACAAATGTATTTCCTTTGACCCAAAAATCCCACTTCTGGGAAATTCTTCTGACAGCTCTGTCTGAATATGGATGAGATGATCTATATATATTGTATATAGATCATCGTAGCGTTGTTTCTATGCCAGAAGACTGGAAATAGCCCCAACGTCCATCAGTTAGAGAATAATCTCCGATTATCTCCAAATTAGAATGCTGTGCAGCTCCCTCTACCCCCAAATGTGGAGGCTTTCGATACATTAACATGAAAAGACGTCCAGAATATATTGTTTAAAAAAAGCAAAGGCAGATCAATTCGTATTTAGTAGTATCTTACCACACTAACCTCTGTATAATAATTATATGTTCTCATTTGTTTATTTTGCAAAAGACACCCCGGAAAGTCTTACAAGAAACTAAGTTGCTGTAGGAGGCAGGGCTGGGGTGAGGTCTGGAAGTGAAGTGGAAATGAGACTATTCAATAATTTACCAATGATTTGATTGGTAAAAGCTGCCAATATATTAGCTACTCAAATAACAATACATTAGAAAATTTTAAAATTACCTACATATAACAAAAACTATATTCATAAATTGCTGTCTTATTAGGCCGCATTTAAAGTTTAGTATATAAATGGTTCCTTAAATTTAGCTGCTCAATGTGATAGTTTCCTTTACTTAATAAATCAACACATTGCAGTTAATCTTCCATATCCCCAGTTAAATACTCTATTTACCCCTGGGGGTCTATGTATGTGGTAGTGGGGGTGGGATGGGAGGTGGTCATGTACACATAATGAAAAAAGTAACCCGAAAATATAGGAAAGAAGTGGAAATTGAGAAGGCATGAGAAACACCAATGAGCCTTCTTAATTGATGTTATCAATGTGGAAAGGAAGATAGTAAAAACATGACTCCAAACAAGATATAAAGATTCTTTAAGACAGGGTAAGTGGACAGGAAAAAATGGGGAAACACAAGTAGACGGTTAACCACGGCCATAATTTTAGAATCTCCTGATTCCACATCCTGCTATGCCGACCCCTTCTGATATCATCTAATCCTTGGAGAAATCTCCCACCCAAGCGCATCCTGATCCCCTTGGTCTGCCTCTGAAAGAGAACTACGGTTATTAATTTGCTAATGAGTAAAACATCAAAGGTCTTTTGGCTTTTTTTTTTTTAATAATATGAGAATCAATCTTAGACTCTCTATTTTCTTCAAAGGGATTTAGAAAAAAGTTTTCTGAGCAAAAGTACTTCTTACATTTTAAAAGTCTTGAACATTGACAAGAATGAAATTTTTGCTTGTCAGCCTGCTCCTCAACACAGGCTCTCTCCACACTGCTCAGGTTTGCCCTCGGTGTCTCTGAAGCATGAACTGCTGCGAGCAGCATGGACAGAGCCTCCCCCTACTTTTGGCTGCGTGATTTCTCTCAGATACTAATCATTTATTCCCTAAAGCACATGCATCAGTCTCAAATGACACGCTCGGTTATGATGTCCTCTCTGACTTGAGGGGACCCACTCAACCTGCTAACTCTACAATGATGGTAATTATAAAAGTAGCTGTGAGTTGTGAGGGGCCTCACTGTGTAAAAAACAGGAAACATGGGTGAGAATGAAAGAGAAAAACTTGGGTTATAGCTTTCATAAGAACGCTATAAATTGGGTTTCATAGTAAGATTGAGTACATTGGATACTTTTTCTTCCATTCTTGAGATACTTTGCTAAGAATAGACCAAGAAGAAGGGGAAAGGGGAGAGGGAGGGGAGGAGAGGGGAGGGGAGGGAGGAAGATGGGTAGAGGAAGAATAATTGATGGGATCACACCTATGGTGCACCTTACAAGGGTACATGTGAAATTTACTAGGTGTAGAATATAAATGTCTTAACACAATAATTAAGAAAATGCTGTGAAGGCTACGTTGACCAGTTTGATGAAAGCATTCCAAATTGTATATAAAACCAGCACATTGTACAACATGATTGCAATAATGTATACAGCTATAATTTAATAAAAAAAAAAAAAGAAAGAAAGAAAGAAAGAGAAAAACTAGGGCTGTCCCACCAGTCTCTTCTCTACTCTAGTCAAAAATGGGGACTATGGGGGCAAAGTGGGGGCACGTAATCCTGGCCAAAGGATAGAGCATTTCAGTTAGATGGGGGGAATAAATTCAAGAGGTTTGTTGTCCAACATGGTGACTCTAGTTAATAAACAATGTGTGGAAAATCACAAACAGTAGATTTTAAGATTTAAGTAGATTTTATTTTTTACAAAAAAAGGCTATGTGAGGTAATGTATATGTTATTTAGCTCAATGTAGCCATTCCACGATGGGTACACATTTCAAACCATCATGTTGTACACTACAAATATATATGCTTTCTATTTGTCAAATACAAATCTAAAAGTAAACATTTTTTAAAAGGAAGCAATTACATTAAAAGGCAAACCACCTGTTTGTGGGCAGGAACGACACAGACAAAGAACTCTGGGGGCCATCTGCGGTGACCCCACTCACTGTGGCTGAGTAGGTAGGAGCATCTGGGGAAGTAGGATGCTCAGGACAGAGAAGGGATC